TATATCCGATAGCAATGAGAAAACTTTTTTTGTAATTCCGCCGGCTTTCCTGCCGGCAACGGTAAACATATTTCACATGATGACAAAGTGGTTGAATCTATTTCCCCTCGCAACACAACTCTTACCTTAGCTAATCCTATGAGTATTAATGGAACTACCAATTGCGATTTATACTCTAACCTGCTTCACTATGATGACTCTGAGTTTCTTATTCTTTCGTTCAATGCCCGCTCTCTGTCTAATAAAATTATTCATCTTAAAACTCTTTTATTCCTTGTAAATCCAACCATTGTACTTATTACGGAAACGTGGTGTAATTCATCTATATCCGATCATTCCTTGAATGTAGATAACTACGTTTTCTTTAGAACCGATAGATGTTATGGAATAGGAGGCGGTACAATTATCTATGTCCGTTCAGACATTCAAGCGTGCAAATTTGAGGATAAATCCCTTGATGCTATAGAAGACTCCACTTGGGTTACTGTAAACTGTGGATCCCAAAATTATTTACTGGTGGGATGCATATATAGACCACCTCATGCGGATACTAAGTTTGACAGATTACTAACAAACATATTTTCCATTGCTTCGCATCAACCGCATACCTTTAAAATCGTCGGAGGTGATTTTAATCTGCCAAAAATTACATGGGGCTTGACTCCGGTACCAGGTCGATATAACAAGCTAGTTGAAACATTAGAAATTTGTGGATGGGTTCAACAGGTCCGAAAACCAACCAGGGGGAATAATACACTTGATTTAATGTTCACAATCAACATAGACTCTATCTCAGTGCATACCGGTCATGAGTTTTTTATGAGTGACCATAGAGTTGTATTGAGTATTATTCACTCTTTAAACGCCATACAATTGAATTCTAAAGCTTCAATGACATACCAGAGCAGATATTTTGATCAACAAACATGGAAACGGACTGAAACTCTCATTCAATGTTTACCATGGGAAACTTATTTTACCACAAATAATGTTGACATCGCGCTTTCCAATCTATATCACAACCTGATATATTGTCTTGACTGCACTGCTCCAGTTATTGACCGTGTGGCTTATAATGCTAATAGGGGCCAAAATACTTTTAAAAGAAAGCTGAGGAAATTAAAATACCGCTACTATGAGCAGAATGATGTGTATGCACTTCAGAGTATACTTAAATTAATCAACAGAAATGCTTCATCTAAGCGTAAGTATTTCATGAATATAGAAAATAAAGCTCTACGTAGTCAAAGCCCAGAATTATCAATACTTCGACTTTTTAAATCCCGTGTAAAGTCAAATTCCCTTGGCACGACCAAATTCTTCATAGTTAACGGAAGCATTGTTAACGACCCGAATACTATATGTGAACAATTCAGCAAGCACTTCTCGCAGTGCTACAAAACTGGAACTGAAAGCTCCAGCATTACATTTCCAATGCTAACATCCAGACACCTGTCGAAAATTGATTTCACACCCTCCGCCATCAAGCAGGCCATAACTGCCCTGAAAAAGTCTTATGATGGTGGACCTGACGGGATACCTACATCATTTGTGAAATATGGAAGTAGAGAATTTCCACTATTTTGTTTGAAACTCTTCAATCTATCTATGGAATATGGGACCTATCCATCTGTATGGAAAACATCCCTTATCACCCCTAGATTCAAAACAGGACCACGTAGTGATATTATTAACTATAGGCCAATTAATTTGACATCCGTGCTCTCAAGAACCATGGAAAAAATCATCCACAAACAGCTACTATCATTTTTACTTTCAGCTAGTCTGATCAGCCCTTCCCAACATGGGTTCATGACTAAACGCTCATGTTTCACATCGCACCTGGAGTTTTTTGATCAAATTACCCAGAGAAGAGATGTTGGTCAGTCAGTGATAATTCTTTACTTCGATTTTAGTAAGGCTTTCGACAGTGTCTCACACAAACTTCTTCTTTTAAAACTCTCTTCATTTGGCATTCAGAATCCCCTTTTATCTTGGCTCAAATCTTTTTTAGAAGAACGTAGCCAAATCGTTCGCTTTGGATCTTGCTACTCTAAACCTGTAAATGTAACCAGTGGGGTTATACAAGGAAGTGTGGTTGGTCCATTACTCTTTCTCCTTTTTATCAATGATGTATGTTCTCTCTTTCAGTATGGCAAACCTTTCCTTTTTGCTGATGACCTGAAAGTGGTTTATTCATTCTCTTCTCCCATGAAAGAAAGCTATATTTCAGCGGTAATCCAGGAGGAAATAAACAAGTTGTACGAATGGACTATTTCGTGGAATATGCCACTTAATGTTGACAAAAGTGGATTTATTCACATTGGTCGCTGTCTTAACTTAAATCTGACTGTACAGACACATACACTCAAACCTCTCAACACTGTTCGTGACCTGGGTTTAAGATATAGCAACAGTCTGAACTTTTCTGAACACATTATATCTCAAGTATCCAAAGCTAGAAAGCTCATCGGATTGATAATGATAAACTTCAATAATATCGAATCGAGATTGTTACTATACAGAAAATGTATCTTACCCATTCTTGAATATGGTATTTTAGTTTACAGTAATTGTAGACATAATGATCTGATTAGAATTGAAGGTGTTCAAAGAAAGTTCACCAAAGCTGTTCTGGGGTATTCCGATAACAAAGACTATTACCAAAGATGTCAACAACTCAACTTAGAACCTCTTTGGATCAGACGTATCAAATTAAATCTTGTCTTTATCTACCGGCTCATTAACGGTATTTCCTACTCATCGGTATCCACCCCTTCATACCTTATAATATCATCCCACAATCTACGCAATAAGGAGAACATTCTAGCGATTCCAAGAACCCACACAAACTTACGTCAGAATTTTTTCCTTATTCGCTACTCAACCATGTGGAACAGACTGCCAGTGAACCTCCGTTGCAGTGAAACTACAACCCGGTTCAAAAGCCTCCTTGACGATTTTCTTTCCGAAAGTGGATTATGTCACCTATTGAATATCAATGTATTCAATAATGATTTATACAAACAAGGTCCATCATCTATTTAATTGCTTGAAAAGCAAAATAAAACCTTTAAATCTTTTCATGTCTATTTTATTTTATTTCTCTTTATCTTAATATATGAAGTCTGCTTATGTTCGTGTTTATCATTATTACCGTTATTAATATCATTATTAATTCCCCAACACATTAGATATTCTCTTTATCTCTTCTTATCCTTCTAAACATATTTAACTCCAGATTGTCCTTTGAAATCATTTTGACTTTCATATCATCAATCTTAATTATTATTGCACAAATATTTATACTAATATCCGGTTTCATTCTGTATACTATTACATAAATCTAAATGTTTTCTATCGAGTGCTTTAAAGGATTTTTTTTTTTTATTTTTTTTTTTTTTTTTTTTTCAATTGCTGGTTTCCTTCTGAGGTTAATATTCATTACACAATTATTATTCTTATCATGGATGAACCTTTTCACTAGGTGTTCACTTCTTTTCTCTCTCTTCTTCCCTTCTAAATAAATCTTATTCTTGAGATTAAGAAGTGTGTAATTAAGACAATAACTTGTGTTACACTTTAAATTAACTTCTCAGATTCGTTTTATCTTCACTATGCATATATGACTCATACAGAGTGATATTTTATTATCCTTTTCACTTAATTGTGACTTTCATAGCATCACACTAAACTATAACTGCACAAACATTTATTCTAGCGTCATATCTTACTACAATGATAAATTATTTTTTGTTACTAATTTAACGATACACACATGGTCGTTTTTTCTTCTTCTCTGTTCATAAACACGCCTATTAGACTGTTTGCTTATTTCACGTCTCCTTTATTTCTATTCCCTTATTTTCTCCATTTCCTTCTTTAAACTCAATTCAATATTCTTCTCAATTACACATACCCGATTTATTATTTTTAATATTCTACTATTATTATTCTAAATTTTTTCTTTAAATATTTTATTTTATTTTTTAAATATGGCAAGTATAATGCTAACATTATTGAAAATTGTGTATTATTGCATTTTCTGAAGAAACCCGAAATGGTTTCTTCACAACACTTATGTACCCATAAGATGTTTGTGAATAATAATAATAATAATAATAATAATAATAATAATAATAATAATAATAATATACTGTCATTAGGCCGATCGACCTACTATCTGCTGGATTCCCGAAATCCTTCTGACCTAAGCCAAATTCAATCAAACTTGTGGTGGTTGCCAAACAAAAGGAGCTTATACAAAATATATTGATACACTGGGTTATTAATGATATGCCAAAAAAATTAATAGTAAAGAAACCTATATGTCTGTCCGTTAGTAAAACCAAAGGTAACAAAATACCGCCAGCAATACAAAAGGTATATTAAACAAACAGACACTAACAGTTACTATAGAATGAATGTTACTTGGAACTTTCTCGTGAGAACAATGACCACAATCTGAGTTCACTTGATTGACAGGTGTTCCTCTGCAAGTGACTGCACCAATGACGTAATGAGGAAGACGGAGTCCAATAGTATTATACAATAGTAATCCGCGCCAAAAGTCCAACGTTGCGTCGGAAGGCCTATAATGATGTTATAATACTATTATAGTCTTCAATCAAACGGTGGCCAATAAAACAGAAGAACAAACGGCATAGATAGTGTTCTATATTTTAAACAACGCGGTAGTAGTGTCGTACATCATTCATCGAAACAATTATCATCGTCTTTTTTAACAAGTGAAACAGCAAAACAACAGATATTGAATAAAAATGTGGTTACAAATAAAGTGACAAATTAGAAAAAAATGTGATTTTATTTTTGCTGTTACAAAAATCACTGAATATATGTCACCATAAACTACAAATCCACAAATAACAACCAAAGTGACCAAAATTTGTCCAGTTTAGAGGATAGACTACCGTCTATTCGACACCATCAAATACCCGAATGCACACTGAAACAGCAAGAGAGAAGCTCAAAATTCAATTAATTTATACAAGCTCTTGAGGAAGACATTGAATATTGGAATTAGGTTTAGCGCTTAACTAAAGTTGTCATGCGATTCCGTTCTTCGAGATATGAAATACTTACCTAAAAGAGTTATTTTGTCGCTGGTTCTGTGTCTTGGAACAATCAACATGCTGGCTCAAAGAGTAAATTTGAGCATCGCAATCTTATGTATGACAAGTGGCTCCACTATACGTGATAACAACAGTACAAGTGATAAATATCCTATTCGAGTTGTTCAGAATTCATCTGGTTTTAGTATAGAGTCATTCAATGAAACAAAGGTATTAGAATATTTATTCAGTTTACATTAATTTGAACAGGAGGCCTTCACAGATCCTGTATTTTGTGATGAAGTAGGATTCAGCATGTTTTTCTTACACTCGAGTGTAAGAATGATCGTTTACTAATAAAAAGGAATTATTGTAAATCCAACGACGCCGGTCTAATCACTTTATAAACAGTATTTAGGGAACCTACAATAACCTAAGAGATCAATTACTTCTGATTTAAATTCCTCGAGCTCCCAATTTCGGGAAAATTTGACCCATTTTGGGGAAGCCGCTATGGTAAACTTTGAGAAAATGGCACTAAAACCCCAAAATTCCCCTTTAACCCTGGTCAAGGTCATTTGACTTTTGGGGATTTTCCCGAAGTTCTCCAAAATTTCCCCAAACATTGGTGAGGGTCACTTGGCTTTGGGAGTTTCCCCAAACTTGGGAGTTCGAGTCACCTTATGAAGAATAAGCTTTTTAGTCAGGAGCCCCATGATATTAACGGTTAGTAGTATATAATGTTATTCGAAGTCAGTTAGTGGATTATTCAGTGTTTTACTCAGAATTCAGACATTCTCTCATCCTTAATTTGTTTATTAGTCTTACAACTTTATATTACATTACTTGAATCCCCCTACCCTTCTCTTTCCATCCTATTTGAATTTGAAACCCTGAATGAGTGCCTTTTATACAAAATTCTACTTGGCTACGTTTGCTTTTAGAAAAGCTCTATGTATCAGTATCATGTACGATACTGTATCATAACGGTGGTTGGGAATGTCTCGTAAAGAATTATTTACCTAAACTGTCGAGGTTTTTCACAAACCTTCGTACTATTATACTTTATTCAACTATAAGATCGGCAAATTACTTTAACGTTCACATTGCTTTGTGACACTGAGTTAGTGAGAGTTGACATGTAAGTAAAAAAACGAAGTAGTTTATACAACACTGTCTGCGAATGCCAACAGTCAAAACGGATAATTGAGTTTTATGCCTAATATTGTTAAAGTTCTAGTGGAATGCGTGAAAAAAATACCATCACTCCAAATTGCATCCTTTTAGGTTACAATACATAAAAATGGTGTTGTGAGGAGAGCCATGAGATAAAGCATTAGTGGAAGAAAAATAATCGAAGATAACCGCGATTATCCTAACTTTTACTAAGAGTCTACGTAGTTATTATAGTATAACTGGTTTTGAACAACCACTGTTCCGTGTAAATTTTCTTTGATAACAATTTTCACAAAGATACACATGTTAGTACTTTAAGTATCTTCAATTAAATGTATGGACGTGCTTTAAGCCTTTACATTTTACTCACTTTGCAGCGTAGTGGTTCTGATCTCGAAAATATACTTCGCCAAATGCATTGTAGTTTTAGATCTTATTTATTTATTTATTTTAACATAGATATTGGTACAAGGTGGCACCAGATACATATGCGCCACACAGATCTCACTTGATATGTGTGAATGCTGTGATACTCCACGGGTTCCCAAACCGAAGCAGATGGTTTTCTTAGGGGATCACATCTGGAGACTTCGACCTGACGGTCTGATCCACAAGGCAGTGGAGCATTTTTAGAAGATGCAGTCCCATGGTAGCCGGTGACCAACGATACGCCATTTTTTCCTCCAGGACACTGTAGTCCATTTGCATCATTGGTTTGGAATGAAGGTTTTCTAACTCCCCTAGGTGGACTCTCCATGTCCACCAACCCGGTTAAAGAGCCGGACATTCGCTTTTCGTCCTCTGAATTTCGTAAATAACACCCCGGCTACGAGAAGGCATTGAGTAGGACTTCCCAGGTAGAAGATTTATTCTCATGGGCATGTGAGAGCATTTCGAGAGGGAGTTAGACTCTCTCCACTCTCGGCCGTACCAGGGAATTCGGGGGCTTTAGATGATCTAGTGAAAATGGCAATAAATGTGCTGTTACTAGTAAATTTGCTTCTGTCTTACAATAGCTACAAGTCCAGTTTCAGATTACGTGCACAGTTGATTACTGAAATGCTCTCGAAATAATATACAAAATAATCAAGAAAAACGTTTGCCCAAGCTATCTTAACAGTTCTCCTACTAAATTTAAAGTGAAATTACAAAACTTGGTTTGTTTTTCACAGGAGGTGGATTATTGGGTTAAATGTACACCCTCGATGCACGCCTGCACATCGTTGACAGTTTTCTTTAGAGATTACACTACCAAATAATTCAATGCATCACGTAAAACTCTAAATACAAGCTATTGTTAGTACTGCTACAGTTTTCTATTGGTTCTTCTGCAAGCTTAGAAGCTCTTTCATCCAAACATTTTTCATTTCAGGCAGTAAATGTTTCTGGGCTAATGTTATGCCTTTTTGTATTTAATGTTTAGAAACTAATGCCATATCAATTTAGTAAGTTTTGTGGAATGTTTTCACCATCAAGTTGTTATCCTGCATTTCTTCCTGTTTTATCATTGATTCACAATGATCAACGCAAAATTTGAGGTGATTAATTATTCTTCTTACTATTCTAAAATTTTAGACTGTGATAGATGGCCCGTTTGACTGGGATCGCTCAAATTGGGGGGTTCTTCTGGGAGTTATTTTCTGGGGTTATTTTCTTGGGCAGATACCTGCAGGCATCCTTATTCAAAAGTTCAGCGTTCGCTCAGTCCTGCTTACATCCCTAATTCTTATGAGCACATCAACAATACTTGTTCCAGTGGTAGCAATAAGGTCTCTGTATTTATTTTGTGCCGTACGAGTACTTACAGGATTAACATCCGTAGGTCTTACTATGCCTATTTCTTTAAATCTCTGATGCTTTTGATTGGAAACATCAGCTGTAAGATTTATATTAAGATTCTAGGTTGAAATTTTATTATTAGGTTTTAACCAGCTTCATCTACTCCAATGTGAGATTCCAAGTAATATCTGTAATCTCACAGTAGATGTGATCCAAAAATAAATAAATAAATTATTCGCTCATATGAAGCTCATGAAATTCCATTACTTTGTAATAGGAGGTAAACAGTCAAGCTGAAATTTAAAAGACCCTCACTGGTGAGATAATATCGTAGTTGCATTACATCATGAGTTGACTGAGTGTTACGATACTAATCATGGGATATGAAGGCCTTGGGGTTGTTCCGCCGTAGTGCAGTTGATGAGCTCTACTGACTAGTCTTAAATTAATATAATATGGAATGGTGGTTATTTCGTTTAAAAGGCTTTCACTTCAACTGATAGATTGTGGGTTTGAAGTGTTCTCCGACTACTCAGGTTTCTGCTGTTTAGTAATATAATTAGCTCTCCTATAAGAAGTGTGATGCAACCCCTAGTATTAAATTCACTTGGTATTGGTTGCTTGAATCTTCCCATTGTTGTTTAGAACTGCAATTCATCAGTATCTTATTGGCATATGTGCGTATTGCGAGTATTGGCTCGATATTGCCTTAACTCACAAGCATTCTAAACAATTATGGATAGTGGCTGGTAGTGGAATCCAGAACGCTCGTTTCGTTCTATTCGAGAGTCGTCAACCGGATGTACCTGCATCTCAGAGTTTATGTTCATTCTGGAATTCAAACCCAGTACCGTTCGCCTCAAACGCCATCACGTTATCCACTTAGCTACTGAGTTCTGATAGCCACTTGTTTGTGCAATGGGGTGAAGTTTAAAGTCACTTGGTACAGGTTGCTTGATCAGTCTCTTATAAAACGAAATGCTCTTCCTGGATTCCACTGATAGCCATTATCCATCTTTGCTTAGAACCCCTAGTATTGTTAGGATGTGCGGTGTTCCGAAATCTCACCTGATACATGGTATGCCACGCGCCAACTCCCAATTAACTACTTGAATAAGAAAGTGTATTGGATTACCGAATAAAATGCACAAAACCCAGCCATATATATACCAGTCTATCCTTAGGAATTTGATGGTAATGAAATGCATTTGACCTTTAGGTCATATCCGTTTGCCGTCGGTTGACATTTTGCCACTTCTGATTGGCTCTCCATATCAAGTATCCCTACTTGTGCCACATTACTGAGTTACACTGCATTATCATGGGGCTGAAACAGATAAAAAATTCCATGGTTATGTGGTTTACAGTCATTCTTAAATCAGTCACAAAAATTACCTCCATGAAAAGTACGAATTTATAAAAACGAAAACAGTCACGATTTAAGCTAACGCGTTTCCAAAAACAACAGTTTTGGTTTTAATAAAAGCTCACTGGGCGATGACTTGATGTTTAAACTGTCCGGCTTTCAGGTGTTGTTTCGTCAATCTGTACCTCCCCCTCCATCTACTTCGCTTTTAGCAGTTGAATAGTAGCACAAGATATGACATATCGTCTGACCCGAGGTCGGGTAAATGAATCTCCAGTGAGGATATTACACTGAATAAAACAATAAAGATGTCCTAATTTATTGGTTTCGTCATCTTTTACAATGTCTATGGGGCAATAAAATATTTAACCACAAAATATAATGGACTGATATAATGATACCAGACGTACTACACCGACCAACACGAATGGTCATTAAGTAACTACTAACATCACAAATAAAATAATATATTTGTAATATCCTAATGAATAGGAAAATTGGATTTTCTGACGCTTCGTGACTCATCTAATTTTCCTACTCATTGGGATATTCAAATATATCATTTTATTTATAATCTTCCCAATGCTCAATTTATTCGAAATTGTCAAGTCAAATCTTAGTAATGATACCTAGTGACATCACAATCTCTCAGTTCTTAATCAGCCATAGCAGTAATAGATGATATAACCTATAACTGTGAAGAATTGTTGTTTTAAGAATGTGACTTTACATGTTTTTGTGTTTAAGAAACCCAGAATTGGACGAGAAAGGCAATTAAAATAATTTATTCTGACTGGTCCAGAATGTGGAATAGACTGAAATATGAACTAGCGAAACTTTTATTTCATCAACTACCAGTTTTAATTGTTGATATCTAGCTAAACTATCTTTTGCTAGTTTAAAATAAATATGGAAAAAGTATCCATGATTCATCCCTGTTCTTTTCAAGTAACGATATCATTTAGTTAGTTTTTTAATGACCAGTGTTTGGAACTTGTTATTCACTAGTTATATTTGTAAACATAAATTATTTATTGGTGTTTTAGGCAAGTTGGTTTCCTGGATTCTATCAACTTTGGGCTGCTTGGGCACCTCCAAATGAGCGTGGACTTTTAATTGGATTTGCTTATGCAGGTAGCATCCGTAATAAACTTCCTATTTGGTTTTGTTTTATTATCTTTAGTTTATGATTCAAAACATATAGATTTGGAATTTTATCAGTAACTGTATATGTGTATAAGCTTTATATAACCATGTATTCACTTAGGTTAAAACGTTTATCATAAAGGTTTTTTTTACATTATATCTCTTAGTAATGTACCAAAGAGATTTTAGTCTTGTCCCGTACTACAGATTTATAATTTCATTATTGGAATCAGTCTGACTATATTGTTTTACATTGAATATTATGGTAGGACTTCATGTAGGTAGTGCTATTACAATGCCTATTACTGGAGCTTTGTGTCAGACATCATTGGGATGGTCACTAGTTTTCTACTTCTATGGTGAGTCAATCATTTTTATACAAATTAAATTTGAGATGCTACTAATTAACAAAATACACATTTATATTTTAAATATCACGCCACACTTATCACTTGATGGATCATAGTACTACTAATTGAATGGTGAAATCAAATTATGTAAAGAACCACATTTACACTGTCATCAATAGGAAATTAAGAGCTTACTTAGGAATGACTCTGTTAGCTATGAATCCCAGTTAAACATATTGAATATTGAGTGTATTATGTTATTTGTCCAGTAATTCGATACAAAGAGATTATTATTTATTTGCATATTAATATACGTTTCCATTCTACTTAAAACTGTAGCTTAACGATTTAATAAATATTATTTTTTAAAATTTGAAATCAGGATAATTTCAATCTTAAACTTGTGAAATATTGGGAGAAAGCTTTTAAACTGACAACACTTAATTTAGTAAATATATAGAAATTTCTAATAGTGCAAAAAAATCCTAAATATGAATTTGACTGTCAGTCAGTCAATCAGTAACAACGTAGAACTTCGTACGTACGTACATCAGTTCGAGTTGCCACACCACATTAGCACAGAGATGCCGTGGTCGATTCAAATTTGACTGTACCCTTATTTGGAAACAAGCACTTATTTTACATCTCACTATCCAAATGTGATTCGATGATTTAAGTTTCATAATTCTATTTCCTTGATGTCTTTATCTCTTCAGAAATTTAAACTGCCTCTTAGTATTATTAGTTTTGAAATGATAATTGTGCTTCAACATTTAACGAATGAAATTTTTATTATTTATTTGTTTGAACACATAAATATTGGTACAAAAGGGCACCAAATATATATGCGCCACACCATATTTGTGTGTGTTGGCTGTGATACTGCCCGAGTGCCCAGACCGAAGCAGGTGGTTTTCTTAGGGGCCACACTTCGAGCCTTTGACCTAAAAGTCTGATCCACAAGGCAGTGGAGCATCGTGAGGAGATGCAGTCCCATGGTAACCGGTGATCAACGATTGGTTCACACGCCATTTGTTTCCTCAGGATACTGGAGCCCATGTGCATCATTGGTTTGGATCCGGTTAAAGCGCCGGACATTCACTTTTCGTCGAATGAACTCGTACGTAATTGCTAAAATTAAGTTTTACTTACTAATTTAAATATCTTTATAGTTCTACCTTTGTACACTCTCTCACTGTTGATGTTCTTTTTGCGGTCATATCCTAAGTAATTCTGTTCATACCTGCCTTTAATGCTTGTTGTTACTAGAGTATCCCAAGCCACTGGTGAACACATAGCTCTCCTTCATTTTACTACAGCTAATTCCATACCATAACGATGAGTCATTATACAAGAACAATAGAAGTTGGATACTGCAGTAGGGCAAACAACATACTAAAGGTTATTGTTCGTGTGATAATTATTATGCTCAAGCATAAAGGTTTATCTGTTTTCCGAATAAATGAATTATGCTTATCTGACTAAGATGGACAATCAAACGCACTTAATTCGTTGTGGGAACATCGGTTTCTTAAGTGATGAGGGGCGCAAAATACACTTGGTAGGTGGTTGAAGGCATTTGACAGAAAACCCTGAACATACGTTTTGTACTAGCTGAAATTGTTCAGCGATATGTATCCGTAATCATGAGATTTATGACATTCTTCGGATATGAATCCTCGTCACCCACTTTTACAACTAAAGACTTTGCTACTGAGCCACTCAAGGCGTGAGCAACTTCGTACAAAACTGAGATATCTATATTGATAACTACTAAATAGTAACCGATGTTGTGTTTCTCCAGTTTTTAATACTGATCAAGTTCTACGGATTACGTTGCAAGCGACTCCAAGTCACTTAGATATGTAGCCACATTGAAAGTTGTAGACATACACTTAGTTGACGAGAATTAAGACACACGGAGTCTGGGTCGACAGACTACTTCCCAATCTCCTTCGAATATCTAATATCAAATATAAATTTATTTGATCAGTTGATCTAGCAACAATCTGATGCTTTTAAACATTCATATGTTTGCCTATTTTTAAACTTTCTTATAACATAAAAGGTGCAATCAGCTTTGTTTATTGTATGATATGGTTCATGTTTGTATATGATGAACCTAAATTACATCCAAGAATATCTATGAAAGAAAAGACTTATTTAGAATCAACCTGCCCAGTTATAATGAAAAACAGCCAAGGAAAGGTAAGTAGCGTATTGTAAATTGAATCAAATTAAAAATCAGTTAATTTACATAATATTGTCATGCTTGAATTAAAAACCACTTACGGTCAATAATGTAATGGAACCCAATTAGTTTAACTTGCTGAGACATTGATTTCATTAGGAATGATGGAAGAACAAACGATGAATTTACCATGAACATAGATTCTCCGTTTGGTTTTGTATATTTTACTTAGGCTTGGGAGACGGCTGTAATAAAAGCCAAATACCAATTAAATAAGACGAATTTACTTCGATTACTTGTTTACTCAGTTGGACAGTAAGGTGAGAAGCGGTGAGCCTGAACGTGCCAACTCCAAATATCATCAATTACAGGTGTCAGTATACTTCAAAATACATAATGCGTAGTGCGTCGAGACGGGTATTTTTTTGTTGTTGTTGCGTAAGTAACTTGTTGAAATAACCTGTGCTGAGAATTCTATATTGTACTAAAATATAATATTGAATAAAGCCATTAATAATAACAATAAATGCGCAAACACACAAATACAATGAGATGCACAACAGTAGAATTACATGACATAAATATAAGAGACATATTCACTGGTCACAATTTCGCATGGAAAGACTTGAGTTATTGTGATAGTAAACGTAACGCATTAGTCACATGTTGCCTAAGTTACTAAATCTGTTGGAAAGTTAGGATGAATTATATAAATGTGTAATGGTACTATATGCTACAGACCAATTAAATTGTTTATTAACATTAATAGCATAAGGTAAAAAGAAGTAAGCAATCTACTCACTTAAAGCAAAATTAATACTCAGTATTTGGTAGTTTAACAGTTCACAACCCACATTGACGTTCTCGTATCATGTACTTGAATTACAGATAAATCCATTCAATGTTACAAATTTTTATCTTGAACTGCATATCATACTTTCAATATGTAATCCTTTTAAATGGAAAAACCCAGTACTAAACAATTCAGTGGATAATAGCTAGGAGGAAGACAGTTTAATCAGGCATTGAATAAAAGCTCTTAATTCTATGTTTTGAGATTTACTTCATGACTTGTCAAAGTTGTCTAAATTGTCTGTATTGCAAACACCAATTTCTGAAAAATAATTATATCTTCAGGTAAGTTTAGACGACCAGATACATGTTTATGGAATCGCTTACTGTTTAAATAAGTTGTTGAAATCTTGCTGTGCTCAAGAATTTGTTGAATGTTGGTAGTTAGAAGAAACCCTAGTTGACATAATCTTAATCTGATTATATAAGCACACCACATTTTTGTCTTACTGTGAAGGCTGAACATCACAGGGATCTCATAGCAGGTCGAACGTAGATAATTTTGTTCAAAGTTTACAAATATCTTCCATGTCCACTTTTCTGATTTGGGCACACACAAAATAATGACGCATATTGTACTATTAGTTTAACAGTTTTTACAGCGGTTGATCTCGAGATGTCAGAGTGACACTAGTAGGTGTATAAATGTGTATTTAAAAATCTTTCACCTTGTTGTTTATTCACTGAAAAGTTTCAGTTGCATGATAGTCACTATATATTGGGGATGGCCATCATGAAACTGTGAAGCTATTGCTCGAACATCAAAAGGTTACGATATCATCACCCATACGCAATGGATTTGGTTGATTGATTAGCATTAATTAGGTTGTTGATTATTTCACTTAAAGTTCATAAGAATCCCAAAAACTAATCAACAAAAACAGTTTATTGATTAAGATCTTGAACCAATTGATGTTAGACCATCACAATTGAAAACCTGGAAGCACTGGACGGCCGTTTCGTCCTATTGTGGGACTCCTCAGCAGTGCGCATCCACGATCCCGCGAGCGGGATTCGAACCCAGGGTCTTCGGTCTCGCGCGCGAACGCTTAACCAACTGGACCACTGAGCCGGCATCCAATGGTGATAGTTTCTAACATCAACCAATCCACGAAATTGCGCGACCAACCTTCATTGTACTGAGGTAGATAACTGTCTCTACCCGACAAGGATTAGCTCCACTGGTCACAGCTTCTCACTAGAACTCCGAGAATTCCCTCACGAAGCTAGTCAAGATCTCAATCAAAAAACTTAATAATCTCCACAACTCCTATACTAATAAAAACAGTTTACTCTATAAACTACTTCACTAAACTGATACATTTATTCATTGTCTCGTTGTACATAAAACTGTATAGGGTGTCTATACTATTCAGAGACGATGAAAACTTGTGAAATTTGTCTAATAATATTTGACAATCGGTTTACATGATACTATACAGGTATAATATTTTCTTCAAGAAATTAGAATTATAAGTCATCTATCAGATTGTTGGATAAACTTCTGTTTTTCTCAGTTGGATCATGCAGAACTTCTTCTATTGGGTAGTATAGTAATCATTAAGAAAATCAATAGAATCAACAATTTTTATGTATTTCAATACAATAATACATAATCCGTATAAACATTGAGTAACCTAATTTGAAAATTGATAATATATTATTCAATATTCAATAGTTACAATGAATGATAAAGTAGAACAACACATATAAGCGAACAATATTGTTTTCAATGAGATTGTCATCAGGCTTTACTTTAATATACATGACTGTTTATACGAAAATTTTAAACCAATCAAGGCAATATGAGTCAATAATCACAATGAAATAGAATAAGTCACCACACATAGTAAGTAAAAATACAAGTTGATAGTAGGAAGACAGGTGAACTGATAATAGTAAGAATAATAAAATACAATATCTATGGTTAAACGTTGGAAATAGAAGGTCAAATAAACATGGGTAGATAGACTAGGAATAGTAAACACAAAACATTAAAATCATTACGTAATAAGATGTGTGTAAATAATTAGATAGTGAAGAATACAAAGAGGCTGGAAATTACAAACAAATAATAGATGTGGAAATAAGGTTAATGATAACACAAATAGAATAAAATAAATAATGATAATAATAAAATTTAAAAAGAAATTCGTTAGTTAAGTTATAACTGGCTATGGAAGGGATAGGGGGGTTACGTATTTCTTCTGTACACATAAATTGGGGTTATATGTACGAATTCCAATGGCTTCAGTTATATGTAGGAGGCGGGAACGATCTCTGTTAGGAAATGATGAAGATATACGATAGATAACTCGAAATGATTTCGATTTATCTACAGCATGACCGCTATCAATAAGATGTGCCAATATAGAACTCCGAATAGATTTTCTCTGGCCCTTTATGTACCAAGTTGGTAGATGTTCACTCATTCGTTGGTTAAGTTGCCTGGTAGTACGCCCTATATAGCTATCTCCACAGGAGCAGCTGAATTTGTAAATGCACATGGAAGAGGCCAACTCAGGTAACTTATCCTTCGTTTGAGTAGACATCGCTGGTCGACAAGAGAAGGTCAACGCCAGATTGGCTGCGTAGAATGTCCTGGTGATTACTTTGGTTAATCTATATTTCAGAGTGTCACTAGCCACATCCCCGTTGAATTGCACTTTCATGTATAAAGGTTTCTTACGAACAGTCGAAATCTCCAACTTTTTTATTATATCATGCATGTACTTCCTAATGAACGCGCTGGGGTAGCCGATCTCGGTCAGTGAGTTGTTGATAAATTCAAGCTCCTGACTTAGAGTGTCTACTGTACAGATCTTTTTTGCTCTGCTAGTGAGACATCTGACCAAATTTCTCTTGTAACGGATGGGTGTGATAAAGTAAACCATATTCTCATTTTGATGTTATTTTAGGTAACTATTTAAAAAAAAATTTATTAAGTCATGCAAAATTAATTTTATATATTATTTTAAATATAGATTCCAATAAAATCCATTTTGACATCACTTCCTGTTTGGTCATTCATTGTTGTAAATATTGGCATAGATTGGAATTTATATACATTTCTAACTAGTGTACCAACGTACATGCGTGAAGTGTTACACTTTGATTTTCAACAAGTATGTTTTATCTTTTAATCATTGAAAAGTGTTTAGTTTAAAATTTAGTAGATTTGTGTTGGGATATTCAGGAAAATATTGTACAATGTTATTTTCTATTTTATGGTACGTTGTGGTCTGATTGACTGGTATATAAACAAAGTAAGTTTGAAATATAATGATTCATATATACCCGAGGCTGTGACTTGCATTCTGGACTCAACTGCTGGGCTAGATAGAGAAGCGGGACCAATCAGAACCCTAGGTCGTTCTACGTGTTTGCGCGTCTTTGGTCCGATCGATAATTCGCTACCCTCTAATCAAATCTGCCGTCACAGTTATAACAATTTGTAAAGTATTTCTCATTATTTCATGCATTTGGATTGTTTAAAAAAAAATTAAATTAACACAACTTTCTTAACAACAATGTCGTTGACAATGATCATTGCAGTCAATATTGAATATATCAGATGTTTGACTCCAACTTGTTGCATAAATTAAATATAAGTTTACAAATTTCAATTAAACATGACCAAACTGCTAAAATGTTTTGGTTGTGATGACAAGAGTTACTGCAGAGTGACTTAATTTATTGACGGTGTATTACACGAGCGGACCTGAGTTGGAGTACAGATGAGAACTGTGGTGCAGAAGACAGTTTTTTCTTCCTGTTATGGAACTCAGTAGGGCTCATGCAAAACCCTATCGAAAGGATTGAACTCCGGAACTCCTGGTCTCCTTGCGAGCGTTTAACCATTGGACAACTGGACGGATGAACATTAAAATGAAATATCAGTTCAATATACAATATACAATGAATACTAAAACTTACCTGCCTTTGCACAAACCAGTAGCTGAGTGGGTAACACGTCGGCGTTTGAAGTGAAAAGGTACTGAGTTGTAGTCCTGGGATGAGGTTACATCCAGCTAACGAGTCCTAAATCGGGTGAAACGCATGTTCTTGATTTCACTTCAAACTACTATCCAACTTTACTTAAAAACGTACGAATTAGTGGTTCAGCATGAACATAAACGGAAATTCAGACAACTCCTATAATAACAGTAAGATTCTAACACTACAAATAACTAATTTTACCGACTTACGTTGAAAACTACTTAAAGATTATTGATTGATTGACTGATAAACATTACAGATGTAAATATTATATTGTTCGACTTTGAACACTTGCATCTTATAATGAAAATAAAAGCTGATAAATAATACAGTAAATTGTCTGGGAATTCTTCAAAAAGTTATCCATTGGTAACTAAAGCTACTATGACTAATGTGCTAATCTTATAAGTCTGTTTTTGTAGTTTGAAAGAAATTTTGATATGTTACTTGTTTAATCGATATAAGATTATGTGTTAAGTCTTATGCCACCATATTTTTACCTACTGTAATTTCACGAATATTCCACACTACACTTCCTGTATGAAGACAAATAGCACTGAGAAGTGCTTTTTAAGTTATTCTTATTAATGTTATTTCTATACTAAACAAACAGAGACATATAAGAGATAACTTAGAGTTATCGTTTAAGATCAACGCAGTGAATGGTGTCACTGAGGCTGTTTATCTCCACCGTGTTAATCTGACTTTGTGACGATTGAGGGAACAGATCATCACTTCTTAGACTTATCAGCTACCTATTCCCAATACAGATATTTTTCAACCACTTTCGACAATCTAGTGTATTTATGAATACTTTAAATTCACAACTACCAGTTGTCCAAGACTAATTCACATTTGTGGAAAATATAAGAGTTTGACTTCTGAACTGAAAACGAATAATATGTCAATAAAGAATCGGAATGTGCTTGAAATAACCAAATGTAGACCGATTTCAACGTTTTCGACGAAGCTCTACAGTTTGTGAGTATCCAAGACATTTTAAGTTGATCCAATTCCCAAACAATAAATCACTGATACTTTAACGCCTCTCTAATTTTTGACGCAACTTTTCAATGTGTAATGCCTAATATACTAGGTAGTTGGAAGTAGTAGACAAGATACCCTGGACCCAGGTTTAGTGTTAATTTTCCCTCCCCACCAAGGCAAACTTGTAATCTTAGAGGAACAGATGTTCCCTGCGGGGATAGAAACTTCCGTCTTCCAGCATCACGTTAACATTAACCTACCTGAGCTGTGACTCACGTTTTATTCTACTAAGATATCTACAGTTAATTAGTCAATGAGTATTCACCCATTTGATGTTTTATGCTGATTTGACTAGACAAGAACTCAGCAATCAGTATCGCGTACGAAATGACATTGAAGGTTTAAAACTTAGTGCGTCTCCGTTAGCTAACCATAGGCGAGGCCATAGAAATCGGACCTTTCCTACCAATTTCATCTATACTAAAATCTTTTGTTTCATCCTGTTTCCTGTGGCCTTCACCCACTATTTGGTCACAACGTTTATGCACTTTTATTATTTAAGTTTGTTCTGATTATATTCATTGTCAATCTCATTTTACATATTACTCATATAGACAATTAAGCAGGAATAATGTATTTGTAAAGTCTCAGCGAATGGATTTAAAGTAGTTTTAATAGAGTTTTGTTATTTGAGCTGAATGGTTTAGTCGTGGAGTTTTCAGCGTTGTTATGAACGACATCATCAGCAAAAAAATTAGATAGAAGTGAGATGATGAATAATTGTTTGAGGGATTTTATAACAAGGATAATTAAGAAAGAAGAACAAAAAGATAATAAAAAAAGAGATAGACAAAAAGGGCGGGTTAACACAGTAGTGATCATATATCACAAAGGAATTTCAGAAGAATCCTAACCCTACAAACAATACTTTAAGATCAAACTGGTAAAAGTCAAAGACTCAATACACAAAGAGGAACAACAAAACTGTTTATGAAATCAAATGTAGTCAGTATAATGCTACATATGTGGATGGAACATCAAGGCAACTGAATATGAGAGTGAAGGAACACAAACTATGCCAAAAGCACATTCCTAAATCCTCAGATGATGTAAAAAAAACCCAATTGTAAACAAATCAGCAATAGCATTACACTCAATAGAATCGGGTCATACAATTTGTTTCAATGGCACAAGAATCCTTCAAAAAGGTTTTAATTCTTACAAAGAAAGACTAATAGCCGAAGCCCTACATACATGGGCAAATCCAAATAGTACCAATGCCAGCTCAGTGGTCTCGTGGCTAAGTGTTCGCGCGCGAGACCGATCGGTACTGGGTTGGAATCCCGCAAGGCGGGGTCGTGGATGCGCACTGTTGAGGCGTCCCACAACAGGGCGAAACGGCCGTCCAGTGCTTCCAGGTTTTCCATGGCGATCCTAGCTTCAATTGACTCATGATCTCAACTATTGAAATTTCTACAATCTCCAGAAAACCCCTTCTAATACATATTTATATTTGATAAATTTTATGTTTGATTATATTTCCTTGAAAAAGCTTGGACCAAATTGCCAGGAGAAACGTTGGATCTATTACTCCAAATTCATTCCCTGAGATTTTACAAATAGTTTTTTTTCGTTTCTAATGTCTCACATCAACTCAGCGCCCAAATACTTTGGAACTGTTCGGTCAAATTTAGACGAATGTTCTTATACATTATTCACATAATTTAGTGATACTTCATCCGCTTCTTTCTTTTTGTATCCACATCGCCATATTGTTATAACTTGTGACCGTTAATTAGGGAGCAGTGACTTATCGATCGGACCAAGGACGCGTAAACCTGTATGAGCAGCTTAGAGTCCTGATTGATCCCACTTTCCGCCTAGCCCAGCCAGTTAAGTTCAGAACACCAATCTCAGCCTCTGCAATATGAATCATTTATTTCAAGCATACTAAGTTTATATACCAATCAAACAGACTACAATGTACTAATAAAATATGAAGCAACATTTGTACAAGAATTAGCCAGATGTGGATGTGAATGAGGGAGGTAGTAATTAATATACTGGGTATAACTCAAGAATGGTAAAGCGTATAATAATAGTTTATGGGTCAAAATAAAGCTTATAATAAGAGGAATATGAATATGCATAGTTTAGTTACTTAATAATTATACAATAGAAATATACGTTTAGTATTGGTCGATCAATAGATCCCAAAAGTTACCATTCATTATTCTTGTCGGGACATAACACATATGTCTTTAACAGATTACGTATATACCTGCATGACATTGCAATTATGCTCACCAATTATATTTTTATTTACCACAATTTAAATGTTCCAAATTAATATTTGCATGCCTAATTGTAAGGGATTTTGAGAAATTACCAAAGAGACGTATTCGTTAAACTGTTTTCACAGTTAGCTGTTCCAATCCAATTTACTAACCGGTTTGGATCCTTCTTAGTTGTGAAAAGGCACTTGTTATTTACTTGGATCTACACTCGATATTCATCGAGTTACTTTCTCCTCACTTTATAAATCTAACCGTTAAATAGTAAACTAGCACACAATAGTGCCCAAGTTCTCACAGCAAGATTTTGATTTGCTGAACATGAGTATCCGAGACTAATCTTGTTAAATTGTAACAACTATTCGTTACATTTATTATCCTTTCATTTCAATTCAAGAGACGATAAAAGGAAATCATTTGTTACTTTGTGATATTCCGTCTTTCTTTTCATGATTATTTAAATTGTACCATCAATATTCAGTATTTTGTAGACTAGGTAACATTTTCAACTCCCTTATATTTCCATTTCGTTGGTCAGCGGTCCTGTCATTCTATATCTATTCAGTTGAGAGTTGGTTATAAATTCCATGAAAATTAATTAGTTTGATCGTTCAACTCATGCATTTTATCAACCAACTATACTATCATAATACATTTTCGTTTTTGGAGCCATCGTTAACCGTCATAATGTTTAATGATCTAATTGTCTTGTAGAATGCTCTGCTGTCTTCCCTACCATACATCGGCATGTGGATAGGACAACTAATATTTGGTTGGATATCCGACATCCTTTTGACTCGGCGAATTCTAACTTTGAGTGTTGTTCGTAAACTGATGAACAGCATAGGTGAGTAGATCTGATTTTTATGCTTAAAAACCATTCACTTAGAGAAAATAAATACTTAGTGTTTACGCTTTGTAAGACAACAACAATGACATAATAATTTCTTTGTAAACAATGATATATAATGAACGAGTCATTTAGATCAGAAAAGTTCTAAATAAATATTTTCATTATATGTATTGTAGTTTGTGTAAGCTGTTGTTAACTACTATGTTTTTAAGGATTAAACATTTTGTTCCTAAATTATTTCATTTTGATTGAAATGACTGACAAGCAGATATTTCACTGGTTTCATCAATTCTTTTAGACTTTTATTTATGGCTTGAGATAAGTTGATAAGGAAATGCTCCAAAATGCCTGTTACGACCAAGGGTGGGAAGAGTCCGCTCTCAAACGACCACTAGTATACAGCCACTGACAGGGATGTCCTACTCACTACCTTCTCGTGATGAGAGTGTTGTTTACGGAATTGAGAGGATTTACCGTATTGAATTAATTAACTGTCCTCCATTAAACTAAACGGTAATATTTAACAACTTAATCTTAAAGTACTACATTTGTGACAATAATCTCATCAAATTTAACGATGTACTGATTTTAAGTTAACCACTAGGAACTAGATTTATTTGGTCCGTACTATAGAAATAATCTGACTAAATAGAGTTGTCAACAATAAGATCTAATACCTAGGTAACCAGGTAGCGACTGTTTCACTGGTTAAACTAGGATCAAAATGAGCAAATATGTTTAAGTAGAGTAAATAAAATATAACATCAAATTAATTAAATACACGGAGGGAAATTTATGAAATCTAACTTCCTATCATCCTTTTTGTACATGATTATATAAAAGTAACATCTGGGTTTGATCTTTCTATTAGAAGGAATTCTAGAAAATCCCTCCCTTATTAGAAATGACACAGGATACAATGCCTCAGTCCTATGAGGTACTGTCTTCGTGATCAATCTTAGTGTCATTCTTTCTTTTCGATAGGATGCTGATGCTTTTATCTGGAAGAGCAATAATTCCAAGGCATTGTAAACCGATCAATACATTGACACGTATGCACAATTAACCACAGAGTTTAACATTAACAATGTTACTTCATACTTATTCAAGTACTAAAGTCTTTTCTATACTTAACGGAATATACGTATTGAGATATAAAAATAAAAATGTTTGGCTCAGCAAATAGTTCTCTTTTCGACGAATTCATTATCAATGCTGCACAGTCTATACATATTTTTCAAAACAATAATAGTGACAATAAGATTCCGCTAAATATGACAACAGTGAAATAGAATAAACAGTGGCATAAAATCATTATTTTTATTAAAAGTAATAATAATAATTGTGTTGTTGAGAGACTGATTCATCATTATGAATATAGATTAGGAAATTACAATTTGGAAAGAAAAGTTCAGTACGTTAGGATAAAATGCTGAAATTGAGATGAACCGTAATCAGAAGGATCATGGAAACAGAAACAAATCATTTGGGAGGGAGGTAGAAGGTCTATAAAGAAGATAGAAGGGAAGCAGATGGCCGTGAAGAAAGAAAAGAATGAAGAAGAAATTACGAGATTAAGGCCGTGGTAGAAGTATAAGTTATAATAGTTTCTTTTGGACGCATAATTCCAGATGTAAAGCTAGTGCTTCGGCGATGCTAAGAAGATGGAATATAACTGCCTTTGGCAGCTCTCTACTTATCTTATAGATGATTTTGAATACAGAATCTTTTTTGATTGAATGATCTGTGTTAATAAGGTTTTCAATTATTGAACTTGTTACTGACCCATTTCCACCTCTTTTCAGCCAAACCGGGTAACGTTCTTGAATTATTTTAGAAAAAATACACATCGAATGACCTATATACCTGACTCTATATGAACATGTAAATTGATAAACACACATAGAATCAGTCGAATGAAATAATTAATCTTTAGATTTATTGTTGAACATTGATTGGTTGGAAAATACTATTCTCAAAGTTGCTCCAAATAAACGTCTAATTGAGAGAGTTGAAATTCTCCTGTTCAGGATATCTGTAACTATATTGCCTTTGAAATCGATAATTATTTGCTATAACTACGGCGCACTAATACCTTTCCACTAGTCACTAAACCTCTGTTTCGGAAGATGTTTTGCAAATAAAAGATGTCACAGCTCCCATAACGATGACACTGCTTCTGAAATTCACCAGTTACTACGAACAAAACAGAATCATGATGAATTTTACGAACTAATCTAGTCTTCAAACATTTTGATAATATATAGTATTTCCTATTGAGTCTATGATTATCTGTTAGTAGAATTGTGTTTACCAACTTCTGTTAACAACTTCTGCTACAAATGATCAAATATCAAGAAAAAGTTTATTAAAGAAATACAGAAAGGTTTATTAGTGATTTGTATCTTTACGATAAGTCAGTTACCTTCTGCGTCCATAAAAGTAACTATCCTAACCGCATTACTGTCTCACTTCTCCTACATAGAAGAAATACAATTTAGTGTGAACAGTTACTCTTTCCTTATACTCTACATTTCAAATTTTTATTCTGAATATAATTTAAAGAAGAAACCTAGTTACGGATTAGACCTCATGGCTCACATTGTTTCTGTAGGTAAGGAAAACTCATAACCTGAATTTTCGAGTAACTTGGATTTATATTCTGCTCATATTGACATATTGCATCCATTCATTATCAAATAATCTTTGCCAATACAAAATTGTTGCTTAAAAATTACAATTCCTTCTTAAAAGCTTAGATTACTAGCCTTAACACTTATCTTTAATATAAGGATCATTTTATCTTAGTTTCTACAGATCCCCCTCCCCAACACACATATATAAGGAAAATACAAAATGTGTATGTTTCTTCTTAAAATCTTTCTTTCATAGGTATGTTTGGACCGGCTCTCCTTATGATACTGATCACATTGTTTGACCATCATAATAAATATGCAGTTGTTATTTTACTAACATTTGGACTTTTCCTTAGTTCTGGTGTTTTCTCTGGTGGAATGCTTAGTCCAATCGAAATCACACCAAAATATTCTGGTTTACTGTTTTCTGCTTCTAATTCACTTGGTGCATTGACAGGATTTTTGAGTCCAGTCGTAGCAAATGCTTTGACACCAGATGTAAGTTAGACGTAATTTTTTTTTTGGTTACTTTTAATTCAGGTTGAACAATGGTTATTCTTTGGTATTTAAAAGTATCCTGCGAAATTCAGTAAATCAATTAATTTGTATTATCGCTATTGAAATTGACAGAAATCCAACTGAGGATCAATAAGGCCTATCATCCTTGTTATTATTCAACCTTTTTAAGTAACCAATTAACTAATAATAAGTTTCTTACATTGCACTCAACAAAAGTTAAAAAAACAGAACCTATAAAGTTGTTTCAAATTTAATGACTGATAATAGTTATCAAGAAATCTACACAGATTTCTTTCGAATGGGACTATTCTTCTGAACGTGAGAAATAGTTCAATTTTGTGTAACGGGAATATTCAAATTAGATTGTAGTACTCGATCTGCGTTCTTGAACACTTATCTTGGGAGTCTCATAAGTCTTTGTGGTCTGGTGTGTGACGAAATCTCAGCATGGATACAAAAGGCCCGACTAGCTTTTGTCAACTTGCGTCATTTATAGCGTAGGAGAGACATCCGTCTATCAACCAAAGGACGGGTTTACTGCGCAGCAGTTCGTTCCGTCCTACTTTATGGCAGTGAAACATGACCGGTAAGAGTAGAAGATATCCGTAGGTTACTAGTATTTGATCATAGGTGTCTTCGAAATATTGCTCATATATCCTGGGACCATCGAGTAAGTAATGCAGTTGTTAGGAGACGGGTAGTAGGTAAGGATGCCAAATCGATTGATGACGTAGTGAAACTTCATCAGTTGAGATGACTGGGACACGTGCTACGTATCCTCAACCACCAACTGCCCCGACGTGCGATGTTTCATTGTGTAGGAGTAGGTTGGAAGAAAGCTAGGGGCGACCAGAAAAAAACATGGCACGAATTCATGAAGTCACTGACAAGTAGGCTGAGTCATATTGGTAGGTGTAGACTACCTGGTTGGGATCCGTGAGACGATAGCATCCGATGATTAGAGATCTTAAATGACATGGTTCAAAATCAATCGCGATGGCGTAGGTGCATCCACTCTTTGTGTTCTCCCAAATTCTAATCTTCTGAATTCTCCATGTCCCTTTTTTCGCTTTCCAAATTTATTTCACTGGGTTATACTCCTTGAATAGCATCTTCAAACCCTATTGTTTCCGATTTTTGCTTATGCTTTTGCTACCTCTTCCACTACGGGATTTGAATCGACAGTTGTATCTGTGTGCTAATGTGGTATGGCAACTCGAACTGATGTATGTACGTACGAAGTTCTACGTTACTGAGTGATTGACTATTGAACATGAAATTTCCCTCAAATTAATCTAATTTGCAATAGAATAACTCATAATTATCTTTATTTTATTTTAACACAGATATTGGTATCAGAAGGGGTTTTGTGGAGATTAGTAATTTCAACAGTTGAAATCATGAGTCAATTGAAGCTAGACAGCCATGGAAAACCTGGAAGCACTGGACGGCCGTTTCGTCCTATTGTGAGACTCCTGAGCACCAAATACATATGCGGCAAGCATATCTCATTTGATATGTGTGAATGCTGTGATACTGCCCGGGTTCCCAAACCGAAGCAGGTGGTTTTCTTAGGGGACCACACCCGAAGCCTTCGACCTGAAGGTCTGATCCACAAGGCAGTGGAGCATTGTAAGAATATGCAGTCCCATGGTAGCCGGTGACCAACGATTGGTTCATTCGCCATTTGTTTCCTCAGGACACTGGAGCCCATGTGCATCGTTTGTTTGGATCCGGTTAAAGCTCTGGACATTCGCTTTTCGTCGAGTGAACTCATTGGTTTGGAATGAGGGTTTTCTAACTCTACTAGGTTGACTCTTCATGTCCACCAACCCTGTTAAATCGCCGGACAATCGCTTTTCGTCCTCTGAATTTCGTAAACAATACTCCGGCCACGAGAAGGCAATGAGTAGGACTTCCCACGTAGAGGCTTTATACTCTTGGGAATGTGAGAGCATTTCAAGAGAGTGAGTGGACTCTCCCCACTCTCGGCGATACCGGGGCATTTCGGGTATAATTATGTTACTCTGTTACAAGTGTTCTGATAGTTGAATGCAATAGACTAAAAAGCTTTCTAGGTGAACGTTTTGTGCTTAGATAATACCTATGAACACAGTGCATCATGTATAGCGAGAAAAACAAAGATTTTGTTTTCAGTACAAATAATTACTAACAGTTTCTTTCTATTTGAATACAGTCCATACAAGTTTAAAATATTTGTGTTGTTGTCTTTTTTTTTTCATTTACAAGAAAACTTATGAACAATGGCGTTATGTGTTTTATTTAGGTTCTGTAATATTTCTTATTGCTGGATTCTTCTATCTCATATTTTCATCATCTAATATACAATCATGGGCTATAGAAGTTATCAATGATGATGCTGATAATCATCATTCACTTACTGATAAAAGTTTCTCTCCTACAATTTGTCAAATTAACAAAGAGAATATAAAAAATGAACGTAAACAATTTGATCAAATCTATTCTAATGAAGTATCAATAACTTGATATGAAATTCGCTGTTTAAATTGTTCCTTCTTCTTCTTCTTCTTCTTCTTCTTCTTCTTCTTCTCATTATTATTTGTATTACTACTGGTTGTAATTTTTGTTTTTTATAAAAAACTAGTTATTTGATACAATTTGAAGATGAGATCGTTGTATTTAGCAGTAACAATTCAACGAATATATATATATATATCTATGTACCTGATCCAAATGTCTTTACATTATGGTATAGTTAGTTGTTTTTTCCTTTTCTATTTCACATAATGGATTAAAATATAACTTGTGAACAATCAATTATTGTAATATTGTACACATAGAATTTCAAATGGTTAGAATAGGATTTCTACTTCTTATCTGAACTAACTATTTGATTGATTGTCCCTTTGATGTATTCTCAATCATGAACAAAATAAGTGAATATGATTATACTTGAATCACTTTAATTTGGCTATTATTGATTAATGGATGACTTTCACAGCTAAGCATGTTACTGAATAGATTATAAAACACAACTTTTACATTGAAATAATCGATTCCTACTGAAAATTCTAGTTTCAAAAGGAACCCATAGTGAGAACTTGATAACTCAATTTCACCTAGTTATATCATTCTCACTACATACTGATGAACTTCCAAAGGCTTATCTTAATATTCTATTTATATTGCGATTTTAGTGAAGTTGAGCGAAAAACCTTGTTCAGATATAATCACAGTGGATTGTTGTAGATAATTCAGTTGGAGATAAGAAACAACTAGCTGTATGGCAAGGTTTACGCATATGAAATTCGATCTATTTTAGTTATTATTTAGATCTGTATATACTCAAGCGCACTAGTTCGGTAACATAACTTTAGTTGTTGGTCTATATCATGATTTTCAGATGTAACCAATGGACCTGAAAATAGACTGAACATGAGTCAAGTGTAAAACTAACTAAATTCTCAGAATGGGTTTTGTGGAGATTTTAGAAATTTCACAGATTGAAATCATGAGTCAGTTGAAGCTAGACCACCATTGAAAATCTGGAAGCACTGGACGGCCGTTTCATCCTAGTATGGGACTCCTCAGCAGTGCGCATCCACGATCCCGCACAACTCGGGGCCCGAACCCAGGACCTACTGGCTTCGCGCGCGAGCACTAGACCACTGAGCCGGCATCCAACTGCTGTGGAGTCCCATACTAGGACGAAACGGCCGTCCAGTGCTTCCAGGTTTTCGACGGTGGTCTAGCTTCAACTGACTCATGATTTCAATCTGTGTAACTAAATTCTGCTTTACAATTAAGTACAAAATCGATACGAAATAAATGGGTGGTGAGTCAATTTGACAATACAGTAATTATCTAGTAATGAAGTTTGGTAAATTAAAACTAAGGTGAAATTTCATATTTCAGCGGTGTCGTTATGGTATCACCATTGAGCCTAATCCTAGCTGATTTCTTTTTGACAAATCGGAACGAGCTTCTGAGAAAAATGTGATAAGCCAACTAAAATTTTGTTGCAGTTATATGGATGAAACGTTTATAGTTATGAAGAACAATAACGAAGCTCAGAACTTATTTGAAACATTTAACAGAATCCACCAGGTAGTCACTTCCACAAGGGAAGAAAACTACAGTGTTTTCTTTCTAGACGTTCTAGTGACCAAAAGAACTGACGGGTCGTAAAGAAGAAATGTTTCTCGTAGACCGACTTCTCAAAGCCAATGTACAGATATCTAGAGTCCTGTCCCATTACAATATAAGAGAAGCTTAGTCAAGTGATAGGCCTATAAAGTTAGAACGTTTTGCTCTGATTACAGACTTGAATAGCAACTAAGAAGTGTTCATGATTTACTACGTTCCTAGCGTAATATACGTCTGCAACTAAACCGAAATTAAAATCACCGAAGATACCAAAAATGCCTATATCCCTGAAATAACAAATAAAAAGTGACATAGTAATTCGATGTTTATGAATAACCTTAAAATGCGTATTCCATCCAGCGAAATTGCCTTCTGCTTTTTTCAGCCAGCCAATAGCAAATTCATGAAATAGGGATAAATTGCCCAGTTCCTCCTCGATAACTTCTATAGCCCATGATCGTATATTAGATAATGAAAATAGGATGCACTGTGATCATAGGTATTATCAAAGCACAAAACTTTCACCTGCAACAACAAACGCGAAATTCGACCAGTGTAGTAGCAGCCTCAGCAGTAGTAGCTTTCAGCATACACAAAGGGAGAAGCAAGATTCTCCGATACAATACAGCATGCAACAATGGAATCACACTTGACGGAGAAGATTTGGAAGATGTAAAATCCTTTACATATCTGGCCAGCATCATTGATGAACACGGTAGATTTGATACAGATGTGAATGAGCGGATCGGCAAAGCAAGAGCAGCATATCTGCAACTGAAGATTATCTGGAACTCAAAATAACTCTCTGTCAACCAACATCAATGTCAAGATTTTCAATACAATTGTATGAGGGCGGAAACTTGGAGAACTACGAATGTCATCATCTAAAAGATGCAAGTGTTTATTAACAGCTGTCTACTCAAAATACTTCGGATCCGTTGGCCAGATACTATCAGCAGCAACTTACTATTGAGATAAAACAAATCAGATCTCAGCGGAGGAATAAATCAGGGAGAAGCTCCGGAAGCGAATAGGACACACATTGAAGAAAGCACCCAACTTCTTCACAAGGTAAGCCTTCACATGAATTCCTCAAAGCCAAAGGAGAAGTGGAAAAACAAAGAACACATTACTATCAGAAATGGTGACAGACATGAGAAAAAATGAACAAAAATTGGATAAAACTAGAAAGAAAGGCGGAGAACAGAGTGGATTAGAGAATGCTGGTCGGCGGCCTATGCTCGATTAGAAGTAACAGGCGTAATTACGTTAGTAAGTAATGTATTTCTAGACTACAATATGCAATTATCAAAATGTTCACTTTTTATTCAGTCTTATTTTTAAAACATTAAAAAACGTTTTTGATTGAGATCTTGAACCAATTGATGTTAGACCATCACAATTGAAAACCTGGAAGCACTGGACGGCCGTTTCGCCCTATTGTGGGACTCCTCAGCAGTGCGCATCCACGATCCCGCGAGCGGGATTCGAATCCAGGGTCTTCGGTCTCGCGCGCGAACGCTTAACCAACTGGACCACTGAGCCGGCATCCAATGGTGATAGTTTCTAACATCAACCAATCCACGAAATTACGCGACCAACTTCCATTAAAAAAAGTGTTGATTAGGTTCCCTCATTATTATTACCACAAGAAAAAAAGGATAATTTAAATATAAATATTTCCTCTTCAATTATTTACCAACTTATATTCTTATTAGTTTAACATATAAACATACAGTTCATCACTGATTATTTGAATATTGACTTTCCATAATACTTAAATTCTTTTTTTTTGTTGAACTTCAAGAAGATATGTCAATTTCAAAACATGATGAAAATATGAGAAAGAAGATGGCGTTTGAAGCGAACGGTACTGAGTTCGTGTCCCAGAGTGAACATCAACTCTCTGAGATGCAAGTACATCCAGCTGACGAGTCCCAAACAGGACGAAACGCTCGTCCTGGATTCTACTGCTAGCTAATATCCATCTTTGCTTATAGTGCTTGTAAATTAAGGCAATATCGAGGCATACGCACAGTATGCACATATGCTAATAAGAGACTGATCAATTTCAATCCTAAAACATCAATGGGAAGATTCAAGTGAAAAGCAATACCAAGTGCATGATGAAAATAGTTTATTTTCCTCTTCGGAAGAATAGATTATCCGACCTAGAATTGTTGGTTTATATCAATCGATAATTTAAAAGTAATGTATTACATATTCGCTCACAATATTATTGAAATAAACTACTAATTTTAATAAAATCTAATTAACAAATGATAAATTGTTTAAAGAGTTGTTTAGTTCAAGTGTTCACCCACGCAATTTCGTGGATTGGATGAATTTAGACATTAACACCGTTGGATGCCGGCTCAGTGGTCTAGCGGTTAAGTGCTCGCTCGCGAAACCAGTAGCTCCTGGGTTCGAATCCCGTGGGGTGCGGGATCGTGGATGCGCACTGCTGACAAGTCCCATACCAGAACGAAACGGCCGTCCAGTGCTTCCAGGTTTTCCATGGTGGTCTAGCTTCGATTGACTCATGATTTCAACCATTGAAACTTTTAAAAATCTCCACAAAACCCATTCCGATAATAATAATTGAAGAGTTTGCAATAAGGATTTTATTTGATAAGTATTTGATCTCTACTAATTTAATTAATGAGGTATTGGACAGTCATCTAATGGTCCATAACTCTGAACCAATGATTAAACTATCATTTTCAAAAATCCATGATCTCAAAAACTAATTGTCTGTAAATTAGGGAAGAATCAAGTCTATTTCGGTCTCAAAACAACAGTATTTAATATCGTCAATTTTATTTGTATTTTCGTTGATAAAAAACTGTTTTGTTTACTTAACAGTCTAACCTACGTAAGTAGATGATCAATAAAATTATTTCGTTGCTCCACAATGAGATCTAGGATTGTGGAGTTCCTAGCAGATTCAGCTACTTTTCCAACGAAAATTAATTGTGGCGTATCATCATGAAATTTGGACGACGAATGATTGAATATCTCTCTACTTTAATTGAATAGGGTCAATGGAAGACCATACGTAGCTCTTGTATATCGTACTTTGTCGAAAGTGGTCATGTGTTTGATGAAAAAAACTGCTCCTGATGATCCACAGTATTCCTTTCCGGCTTCAAAACAGGATTCTATCTTGTATTTTAAATATATCAGAAGCTACATAGACTCAAGAAAGTTTAGAACTAGATGAAACGCGGCCAGTTGTGCAATACAAAATGTGTTTCACCATATTTGGAACTCATCAGCTGAATACACCTACATCTCAGAGTTGATTCTCACTCCTGGACTCGAATTCAGTACCGTTTTCTTCAAACGCCATCGCACTATCCACTCAGCTACTGAGTCCAGATAGTCACGTGTACAACGAATATGAAATTCAATTCAATTTGAAATGGTGTGGAGTATGAATCGGTTGGTATTTTTGACTGAAATTTGGTCACTTTTGATTGATATATTGAGCATCCTGTGTGCATGGCCTTGATAAAAACATTACCACTCAAGTTGATATAGACTATACGAAATATGGTTAGCAGTGGAATTCATTTGGACTCAGTAGCTAAGTGGATACCCTCCCAAGTTTTGACCTGCTTCCTATGTTGAAATATTTATTCAAACTGTTATTATTCTCATCACTACAACTGTAGTGAACGAGAACACAAGTGGGAACAATCGAACGTAATTGAGCATGAAATTACAGAATCTGTTAGTAAAATATGGGAACCATACAGTAAATACTTCATTTGCAAAACGTCAATCAATTGTCTCAGACCTGACAGTTCCTTCA